AGCATCAGAAACTTTCTTTTTTTCTTTTTTCTTTAAATGGCCCTGAGATTCCACTGCAGTCAGATGGCTCCAGTATCTGGGGCCCAACGCACAGCCCTCTATGCACCTATGCCTGCATCTGGCCCTGATTCTACACAGTGATGCCACCCAGTCACGTTGCAGGATCCCAAGTTTCAGGGCAAGAATCAGGCTGGCTGGCTGTATTCATGGCTCTGATCAGCCCTGCTTCAAAAAGGAAGAGGCTTGGGCTTACAGGCAGTATGGATTTGGCTCCATCCACCTGATCCACACTTCAGTTATACCCACTGGCCTTTTCTCTAGTAAATATTGGAAAGAGATTAGAGATTTGGTTCGTTGTGTACACAGATTAGAATAATTCTCTTTCCCCATATTTGCGCCACCACCACACATGTGGGGTTTTTTTAAATGGTAAATGGCTCAAAAACCTCCTTTCCTTAACCTGGCATCTCATCCAAAATGCATTTATTATCATTAATATTTTGAAAAAGAAATGGAAGGTGATGGATTGAAAGAGACTCTTCACTGTTTGATAGGGGTGCAGCAAATGACTGCATAGGATTGGATCATAACAGGAGGCCCATGTTGCCCAGTATCCCATCTCCAGCAGCAGCCCAGTCCCTGCGGCTCTGAGGAAGCTGCAAGATCTCTGTTCCCAGGGGAAATTCCTTCCTGACCCCAATAGTTATAAATTGGCTCATGCCCTGAAGCATGTGGGTTTAAATCCCTCTCAGACTCTTGTCTCTTAGTTAGTATTTACTATATTAACTCTGGACGTTCTCATTACACATGGCCAGTCCTTTTGTGAACCCTGCTCAGCTCTAGACCTCAATAAGATCAAGTAGCAGTGAGTTCCATAGTCTAACCATGCACTGAATGAAAAAGCCTTTCCAAGGGAGGTCTGCACCAGCGAAACTCAGTGCCTGGGGGGAGGCAGGGTGGCCGGGGGAGGGAGGTCCAGCACTTGTTTTCACTGCACTAAGCTCCTGAGAAACTACACCGGGGCCTTTCAAAACTTCTCGTAGCGTGGGTTGCTGGCCATCGAGATGCGCATGCTGATCAGTCAGGGAGTTCTCCTCTCCCTGCACATGATGCTCTGTCACCAGAGACCTTTCTCCTCTAAACTGCCCCCTGCATCTGCAGGCCCAAGACTTCATCTGGTCCCCTTCTGCCTTGGACCGTCCTCTCCAGCAAGCAGCTCCAGATGTTGGCTACCATCTCCAATATTACTGCTGGCCTGGGGGCCCTGATAGCAGCTCCTGTTTGGTAACACAGGCCCTTAGTGCATCCAACTAGGTTGGCTCCTCCTCCCTGCCCGCAGCTGCCTCACACTGGCTTGGGAAGGAGAGTCTGGACTAGGGGCATTTGGGAGTCAAGAGACAGTGCCATGCGACCCAGTATGCTGTCCCCTCCGATGGGCTGTGCTCTAAAAGCTGGCTCCCCCCACGCCCGCTTACACACACACCCTTACCTTTCTAAAGAAGACACCTGGCGGGAAGAAAGAAAAGATGAGTCAGTTGCAAATAGACAGCAAATGCTGGGCATTAAATGCCAGCTCTGCTTCTTAATCATGTAGGAATCGCCAGCTTGGACCAGGCCAGGAACCATCTATCCTGGGATCCTGGCACTGGCCAGCACCAGCTGCTCAGAGGAAAGTGCAGAAAACCCTGCCGTGCTGAAATAACCTGCCTCCTGGGGAAGTCCCCGCCTGACCCTTCATTAGCTCATGCCCTGGAGTATGACGCTGTCTGTCCTTGCCACAGCCTTGTTTGGTTTGTAAGATTTACTGCTCTAACTCTGGATATTCCTGTTATCCACAGGAACATCCTATCCTTGTTTGGCTTCTGCTCAGTGCTTTAGCTCCTGTGGCAATGAGTTCCAAAGGTGCCCAATGAGCCCACAACTCCACAGCATGTGAAATTTACTTCAGCATCTGAGGTATGAATGGAAATGAAACACTAGGCCAGGGGCAGGCAAACTTTTTGGCCTGAGGGCTGCATCGGGTTTCCAAAATTGTATGGAGGGCCGGTTAGCGGAGGCTGTGCCTCCCTAAACAGCCAGGCGTGGTCCGGCCCGGCCCCCTATCCGACCCCTCCTGCTTCTCACCCCCTGACGGTCCCCCGGGACTCCTGCCCCATCCAACCCCCCCGTTCCCTGTCCCCTAACAGCCCCCAGAACCCCCGACCCTGACTGCCCCCCGCCACCCTATCCAACTCCTCCTCTCATTCCTGACTGCCCCCCCGGGACCTCTGCCCCATCCAACCACCTCTTCTCCCTGTCCCCTGACCACCCCCAGAACCCCTGCCCCTGACTGCCCCCTGCCGCCCCATCCAACCCCCCCCTTCCTGACTGCCCCCATGTTCCCCACCCTCTGACCGCCCCAACCCCTATCCACAGCCCCGCCCCCTGACAACCACCCTGAACTCCCCTGCCCTCTATCCAACCCCCCCTGCTCCCTGCCCCCTTACCGTGCTGCCTGGAGCACTGGTGGCTGGCAGCGCTACAGCCATGCCGCCCGGCTGGAGCCAGCCACGCCACCGCGCAGCACAGAGTACCGGGTCAGGCCCCGGCTCTGCAGCTGCGCTGCCCCAGGAGCTCGCAGCCCGCCGCCCAGAGCATTGCAGCAAGGTGAACTGAGGCTGCGGAGGAGGGGGAACAGCAGGGGAGGGACCGGGGGCTAGCCTCCCGGGCAGGAGCTCAGGGGCCGGGCAGGAGGGTCCCATGGGCCGGATGTGGCCCACGGGCCATAGTTTGCCCACCTCTGCACTAGGCCCTGGCATCATCTAATTTACACCAAGGATCAGTCCTTCTATCTGGGTGTAAAGAAAACTCCATCAGTTCTGAGGCCAGGAGTGACTATTGTGATCATTCAGTCGGACCGCCTACAGCACCCAGGTCCCAGAACCTCACACAGTGTTTCCTGCATCCGGGTAAGACATGAATGGATTCACAGCATCCAATGTATCAGTGAAGCACAGTGAGTTGCCAAAGGCTGCCCACCAAATCAGTGGCAAAGCTAGGAAGAAAACGCTAGAATCTGGACTACCAATCCTGTGATTCAGTCATGACACTTTTCTCCCTCCCAGAGCAAAGAATAGAACCCAGGAGTCCTGACTCCAATCTCCCCTGCTCTAACCACTAGATCCTGCTCCTTTCCCAAGAGCTGGGTCTAGAACCCAGAAATCCTGACTCTTAGCCCCCGCGCTCCTGCTTCAACCCACTAGACGCCACTCCTTCCTGCCTGAAAGAGCTCTATTACGGGGTTTTACAATGTGCAATGGATGAAATCTCTGTTTTCTTCTACTGAGGGGCCCCAATCTCAGAATAGTAGCCCAGGTGAGGTCTGCCCAGAGCTGGACAGAGGGAGACAACCTCACTCCCATGTTGAGAAATATCTCTGCAAAACACAGCTCAAGATGACAGTGGCGTGTCTGGAATTGCTCCCTGTTCCCTATCCCTGGGGAACTGGCTTTAATCAGCTCATTTAGGGCTCACTGAAACCCTCCCAGCCCTGCTGCATGGTAGCAGCTGTCCTGCTGTAGTGAGATTTACTCTCCTTTCATGGGCTATTTGCAGCATCCCTGGCTAGAGCCAGCAGGAGAATGATCCTCTCCATTTGCAACAAAGTCAGTGCAGCCGGGCAACAGTGCAAAATGCAACACACTTACCTTGTACGTCCCCATAGACCTCATAATCCAGGGCCCAGAGTCCTGAGGAAGCCATGGCACGGCATGGGCTAGTGCGGTGGGCTGCAGATGGGAGCTGGTGGGAGTGAACAAGGGTTTGCAGCACAGCGTGTTATGTGATCTGCTGCAGGCAGCTCTGTCTGCCTGTTACTAAATTGAGCCTTTTGGATGGAGGCAGCATGGTGAGGAAGGAGCAGGCCAAGCCACTCATGCCACCCCCACCCCTGCACCCAGCCCTCTCCCACTGCACTCACAAGCCCCACAGCCAACCCCTCCTCCTTCAGGCTCAGCCCCCTCTGCCTGGCTTTCCCCCTCCCAGCTCCCTTACTTCCATACTATGGGAACCCCCTAACCCAACTCCCAGCTACCTCCCACTCACCCCAGTGCTAACCTTCCCTCCCAAATACCCAACACCAGTATTGGGATAGGGCACTGGACTGACATTTGGGAGCCTTGGGTTGGCCACTGGTCTGCTCGGTGATCTTAGACAAGTCACTTCCCCTCCTGGTGCCTCAGTTTCACCGTCTGTAAAGTGAGGCTAATGATACTGCCTCCTTTATAAAACACTATATAAGAGCTAGGTATCCCTCATGCTCAGTGCAGGGGTAAACCCCTCCTGTAACATCCCAGCAGCAACCTCCCACCCCAGTGCCAACCCCATCCCTGCTACTTCAGACCTGCCCCCATCTCTATTGCCCTTGGAAAGCAGGGAGGGTTGGGCCAATTTGGGGGGGGAGGGAAGGAATGTGTGTGCGTGTTGAGCGGGGGGGGGGTGATTGGGTCTGGGGGTAGAGCTGGGAGTTAGGGTCTGGAGTGGAATAAACTGGGGGTTGGTCCTGGAGACTGTGAAGTATGGGAGCAAGACTGGGGGGTAGCTGAGGCTGGGACATGGGGGTTCAGTGAGGGGCTGGGGGCTGGGATGTGGGGGATTCAGCGAGGGAGCTGGATGTGGGGGGAGCAGGCGCTGGATGAGGCCAGGTGATCAGTCCTGGATGGTTGGATCTGGGGTTTAGGGGGGCGAGGGCTGTCTGCGAGGGGTCTGGCTATGGGGCTGCGCTGTGGGGTTTTCAGGGGGGGGTCGGGGCTGTCTGCGAGGGGACACGGGTGGGACTGGGAAGCTGTCTCTGGAGGGGGGGGGTCAGACCTGGATGGCTGGACCGGAGGGCGGCGGGGGGCTGCGAGGGAGGTGGAGGCGTAGGACTGTCGGCGCGCGCTCCCGCGGGGAAGGAGATGATCGGCGCGCGCTCCCGCGGCTCCCTTGGGCGGGAATGAGCGTTACTAGGACGAGACAGCGTAATGGAGGGAGCGGATACGCGCACGGTGCGGGCGGGGGGGTGATGTGAGGCTAAGTTGAGGGGGTCAGGTGGGGGCGCTGGGGGTGGATGGGTCCTTTGGGGGCTCAGCTGTGGGAATGAGGGGATCAGTTAGGTTGCTGGGGACAGGGGGGATCAGTGGGGGTCAGGGATGTCACTTTGGGGGATGGGGTGTGAGGAGGGTGCCAGGGGGTGGAGGCATTTCTCCCATTGGCTTTGAGGGCAGGTCCCTAGTATAGGCCTCTCTCTCTGCGTGCGTGTGTGTGTGTGGGGGGGGGGTATATCTTCTCTGGTATTAGGATCTAGAAAGGTCTCCCATTCCTCTCCACCACTGGACCTCAACCTGCACCCCCCAGCCAGGGCCCCCCAGCACACACATCTCCATCACCCCTGTGAGCAGTTACCCTCCTACTCACACATCACCCCCCAAGGCCCTTGTTACTAGCCTCACTGCCCTAGCCACCTAAATCCATCCCCCCTCCTCCACCCGCCAATCTGTGCCCTGCTTTACTGCACCATCATCCTCTGGCTCACTGGCCTTGATGGTGACCATGACATGGCCCACTGACCCGTCCAGTCTCCTTCGGCCTGGCCAGGCTGGACATTATACACTCACTGGCTGCTTTTTTGTTTTGTTGTTTTGTTTTTAACAGACAACTTTTCTAAGTGCTTTAAAATCCACATGCTTATTTGGATTGTCTTGAAATTTTCTGTGCCTCATGAGTGCCTAGGATTTGGTTAGTGGTCCCAATTTGGGGTCATGTGAATGAGGGGTTACTGACATAAATTCCCTCCATAAAAATCATGTGGTATCAAAAATCTCTGATTCTTATGTTTTTCCACATACCTGAGGCGATGTGTTCAGATATTTTGGTGATGGAGCCGTAGAACTACCTTAGCCATCTAGAGAAGTGCTCAGGGCTTTCTGAAAAATCAGGTGTCTTAAGCTCAGCATGTCAAACATTGAGGCATCCGAGATCATTAGTAAAACAAACATTACAGAGGCCTGGACAGACCATAACACTCATCCTGAGGCTGATGTAGAGGTGGCAGCTTCCAGAATGGAGGACTGTGCTGGTGCAACAGCTTCGCAAAACAACAAGGGACATAGAAAACTCTCCAGTTTATTATTATTAACGTGACAGTAGCTCTTAGACATCCCAGCTGAGATCAGGATGCCATTGGGCTAGGCATGGTATCGCCATTTAGTGAGAGAGAGAGAGAGAGTCCTTATCTCCAAAGAGTTTACAGTCTAGAAGAACAACAGATAGGAGCGGAAACAAGCATCAAGTGTGAACTTGCCCACGGTCAGTGGCAGAGCTGGGGTAACATAAGAACAGCCATACTGGGTCAGATCAATGATCCATCTAGCCCAGTATCCTGTCTTCCGACAATGGCCAATCCAGGTGCCCCAGAGGGAATGAACAGAACAGGTAATCATCAATTGATCCATCCCCTGTTGCCCATTCCCATCTTCTGGCAAACAGAGGTTAGGGACACCATCCCTGCCCTTCCTGGCTAATAGCCATTGATGGAACTATCCTCCATGAACTTATCTAGTTCTTTTTTTAACCCTGTTATAATGTTGGCATTCACAACATCCTCTGGCAAAGAGTTCCACAGACTGACTGTGCATTGTGTGAAGAAATACTTCCTTTTGTTTGTTTTAAACTTGCTGCCTATTAATTTCATTTGGTGACCCCTAGTTCTTGTGTTATGTGATGGAGTAAATAACACTTCCTTATTTACTTTCTCCACTCCGGTCATGATTGTATAGACCTCAATCATATCCCCCTTTAGTCGTCTCTTTTCCAAGCTGAAAAGTCCCAGTATTATTAATCTCTCCTCATACGGAAGCCATTCCATACCCCTAATCCTTTTTGTTGCCCTTTTCTGAACCTTTTCCAATTCCAATATATCTTTTTTGAGATGGGGCAACCACATCTGCACGCAGTATTCAATACCATTGATTTATATAGAGGAAATATGATATTTTCTGTCTTATTATGTATCCCTTTCTTAAGGATTCCAAACATTCTGTTCACTTTTTTGACTGCCGCTGCACATTGGGTGGATGTTTTCAGAGAACTATCCACAGTGACTCCAAGATCTCTTTCTTGATGCTAACAGCTAATTTAGACCCCATCATTTTATATGTATAGTTGGGATTATGTTTTCCAATGTGCATTACTTTGCATTTATCAACATTGAATTTCATCTGCCATTTTGTTGCCCAGTCACCCAGTTTTGAGAGATCCTTTAATAGCTCTTCGCGGTCTGCCTGGGACTTAACTATCTTGTGTAGTTTTGTATCATCTGCAAATTTTGCCACCTCACTGTTTATCCCTTTTTCCAGATCGTTTATGAATATGTTGAATAGGACTGGTCCCAGTACAGACCCCTGGGGGACACCACTATTTACCTCTCTCCATTCTGAAAACTGACTATTTATTCCTATCCTTTGTTTCCTATTTTAACCAGTTACCAATTCATGAGAGGACCTTCCCTCTTATCCCATGACAGCTTACTTTGCTTAAGAGCCTTTCGTGAGGGACCTTGTCACAGGCTTTCTGAAAATCTAAGTACACTATATCCACTGGATTCCCCCTTGTCCACATGCTTGTTGATCCCCTCAAAGAATTCTAGTAGATTGGTGAGGCATGATTTCCCTTTACAAATGTTGACTCTTCCCCAACAAATTATGTTAATCTATGTGTCTGACAGTTTTGTTCTTTACTATCGTTTCAACCAGTTTGCCTGGTACTGAAGTCAGGTGGCCTGTAATTGCCAGGATCACCTTCTGGAGCATTTTTAAAAATTGGCCTCACATTAGCTGTCCTCCAGTCATTTGGTACAGAAGCTGATTTAAATGATAGGTTACAGACTACTATTAGTAGTTCTGCAATTTCACATTGGAGTTCCTTCAGAACTCTTGGGTGAATACCATCTGATCCTGATGACTTATTACTGTTTAGTTTATCAATTTGTTCCAAAACCTCCTCTAATGACACCTCAATCTGGGACAGTTCCTCAGATTTGTCACCTAAAAAGAATGGCTCAGGTTTGGGAATCTCCCTCACAACCTCAGCCATGAAGACCGATGCAAATAATTCATTTAGTTTCTTCACAATGGCCTTATCATCCTTGAGTGCGCCTTTAGCATCTCGATCGTCCAGTGACCCCACTGGTTGATTAGCAAGCTTCCTGCTTCTGATGTACCCCTTCTGATATAATCCTGGTGTCCTAAGTCTTAGGCCTGTGCCTGAGCCACTGGTCCATGCTTCTTTCCTTAAATAAAGAGACTGTAGTTTTCTTTCCCTGGTGCTCTTGTAAGTTATGAGCCTCAGAAATGCAGAATCATGAAAGTGAGGTGTAAGTTTCCTGCATTAATAGCTGTGTGTGCACATGTGCGTGTGTGTTCATGCTGCATGGACCTTTGCAGGTGGAGAGGTAGGAATGATGCTCTTTCATGGACTATCCAGGGCTTTAACAAGTATCTGCAACCTATGAGGTACTGCTGTGCAGGCTAGCAGTGTCATACGGAGTTGGATGCATATAGCAGAGGGGGTGCCTCTGCAGCTAGGAAAAGTGTTCAGTAAATAGCACGCTGGCTTAGGTCTGGATTCAATTCCTGGCTTAGCTGTGGATGCCATATGCGACCTTTGTGTCTTGCTTCCTCCTCTGTAAAATGGAGAGGATATCTTCCTGCCTCCCAAGGGTGGTGGAAGATCAATTCCATTAATGGTTGAGATACTATAATGAGGAGGGCTGTAGCAATAGGCTGCTAGTGCTGTGTTCTCTCTCCTAGGGTCTACAGATCTGTGTGCCATCAGCCTGGGGATACATGTACGTTGCACTGGCTCAGCGTGTGTGTGCGCTCATGCCTCAAGCAGCAACTGCGCAACTGCTCAGAGTCGGCTGAGCTAGTTCCAGGGAGCCTCTGCTTTTGTGACTGAGCATCTGGGTCTGATCACTGTGGTGTCTATATGCACGTGGCCACAGTTTATTACATGCCCATCCTGAGGTCTCTAATGAGAGCCAAGGAAACAGCTGCTGTGTGTCTTCCTCCTTACTGAGCAGGGGGAGATCCCTTTCTGAGTTCCCAGCCCTTCTCCCTAAGTAAGGCCTACAAGATGTCAACAGGTCAGTGGTTGTAAAGCTGCTTCCCCACCTCTCTGCAAGGATTCACACCTGTCCACATTCCTTTCTCTGGGTCCATTGACCTCAGTAGGAATGTTGTCCCGGGATTGGAAATCTAAGAGGTTGTTGGAGGGGAAAGAGAGGCCCAGTGGGAGTAGAGGAGGTTATGAAACTGTGGCCTCAAAGAGGTAACCAGCAGAGCTTGAACCAAGGATAGGCAGCGCCGGCTCTTCCTGATGAGGTGGGTCAGAGAAAGGTTATTATAGTTACTGAGATCACATTCACTCTGCCATAGTGTTACCCCAGCTGAGATGGACTCCTTCCTCGCACCACAGCTCCCCAAACTCCAGGCCTTCAGCTCTGAAACCCTGCATGGCCCCCCACAACTCAAACCCTACATCCTTCCATGTTTAAAGGCTCAAGAACTGGCCCTTCCAGGCTGAGCCAGTTGCCAAGGGGTTAATACGGCAGATCTACTCGAATCAAGGTGGGTGTTTTGCAACCTCCTGCTGGCTGTGGCATCTTCCCGAAGAGGGAGATTGTTTGTGACACTGGCAGAGAGGGACCTGCCATGAGAGATCTTAATCCACTTTCCATCCTGCTGCAGGGGATTATGCAGCAGCAGAGTCTGGGGTAGGGGAAGAGAGGAGACTTCTACCCAATAAGCTTGGCCTGTATTTTCCTCCCCAGCTGCCTATTGTGTGACAGAGAACTTTTGTTTGTTAATAAGGACTTTCCCCCTTTCCCAGCCCTGTGTGGATTGGTGTGGATTTTCCAGTCCATCTACAGGATTATGGGCATGCAGCATTGGTCTGTAACGCCACAGGCAGTGCATGGCTCAGTCCCTGCCCCAAGGGGTTTACAACCCTACATGTGGCGCTAGCATCAAAGGGGAACAGGAGATGTTTGTGAAGGAATAAGGTGTTGAAAGTCAATAGCAGGAGGCAGCATGGCCCTCTGGCTAGGACACAGAGAAACTGGCAACCAGGACTCCTGGCTTCTAGGCCAGGCTCTGGGTGGGGAGTGGGATCTAGTGGGCTAGAGCAGGGGAAGCTGGGAGTCGGACTCCTGGGTTCTATCCCAGTTCTGGGAAGGGAGTAGGATCTAGTGGTCATAGGGGAAGGCTGGGAGTCAGGGCTCCTTGGTTCTATTCCCAGCTCTGTCACTGACCTTGGGCAAGTTCATTCCCCTCTTGGTGTCACTATTTCCCCTCTCACCCTGTGTCTATTTAGATTGAGCTCTTGGAGGCTTGGCTGTAGACTGCTCCACACATACGTTTATTGTATCAGTATAATTATTTTGGTCAGGGATGGGCTTTTTTACTAGTATAGTTATACTAGGACAGCCCCTACTGCAATGCAGTTATATTGGGATAAAGGTGCTTTATCTCGTTATAGCTTATTCCCCTTGTGAGCTATCTTGGTATAAACACATTTACCCTGGCTGCCTGCATCCAAACTAGGCAGGTTGTAATGCTTTACCCAGACCAAGAGAGTTAAAGCAGGGCAACTTTTGTGTGGATGCAGGACCTTAGTGTGTGTTTGTACAGTGCCTAGCACAACTGGGCTCTGCTCTCCACTGGGGCCTGGAGATGCTAGTGAGACAAATAGCAATGGTCACTCAACTCCGCATGGATCAGAGGAACGAAGAGCCTGTCTTACAAGCGGAAACTTAAGAGTTGGTCTTGTCTAGCCTGGCAAAACAAAGGCTGAGAGGGGATCTGATTGCTCGCTCTCTCTGAATACATTGGGGGGAGGGGCCCAAGGAGGGAGAAGAGCTGCTGAAGCTCAAGGACAGCATTAGCACAAGAACAAATGGAGATAAACTGGCCAGGAATCAAGAAGGTTTCTAACCGGCAGAGGATTGAGGGTCTGGACAGGGCCGGCTCCAGGCACCAGCTGAGCAAGCTCGTGCTTGGGGCGGCAGATTCAACGGGGCAGCATTTTATTCTGCCCAATCCTAGGGCGGCATGGCCGCTTTTTGTTGTTGTTGTTGTTTTTTGTGGGGTTTTTGTTTTGTTTTTGTTTTGTTCGCTGATCCGGCCACCCTATAGGGGGCGGTGGCGCGGAGGAGGGGAGCGCCCTGCTGGGAGCGGGCTGCGCACTCCGTCTGCCCCAGCCGGTGCTAGGTCTGTAGCAAGCCCGGCAGGGCAGCCCGCGTCGTTCCCTCCCCACCGACTGGAGCGGTGCGGAGCCCTCCCGGCAGGCGGTGCTGCGGTCGGGGCCATGTGGCGAGCGCCCCGCTGAAGCCCTGGCCGCCCCCCTTCTCTCTCTCCCCCCACTTCCTCCCCCTCCCCCCCGCTAGCCGGGGCACGTCTGCAGCGCAGGGAGTCCCCCTGCACCCTGGCTCCTGCTGCCCCGCAGGTTTTTTTTTTTTTTTCCCCTGCTTTGCCACTCTGGCCGCACCGCAGGTTTTTTTTGCTTTGCCTTTCTGGCCGCCCCGATTTTTTTGGGGGGAGGGAGGGGGCAGCAAAAAAGCCAGAGCCGGCCCTGGGTCTGGAACAGCTTTCTAACAGGAGGATTGGGCCAATCACTCAGTTTTAACATGGATTCTGGGACGGAGTTGCCTGCAATAGCAGGGGACTGGCCTCAGTAACCCAGGAGCTCCCTACTGTTATGTTTCTGGCATACACACAGGGAAGTTAGTCACAACCATAAATACTGTTGCTGGAACATTGCATCACACTATGCTATTTTTTTGAGTTCATAATGATAACAGACATGATCCCAAATGCAGGGACAGAAAAAGCAGGCTGCAGCCTAATACAGAGAGGCACAACTCACCCCATCTTGCTGCAGTCTTGCTTGTATCAGAACTGACTCAGTCTGCACTAGGCCCAGATCATATGCTTTCCTCCAGAGTCCCTTGTCTGGAAGCAAGACCAGGGGCCCCCCTAAAAGTTTAAAGTGATAGATCACAATTTTAACACGGTTTTCAATACATCACATCTGCTAGCCCTATGTCCCTATGTTCAGCAGCTCTGACTCTGGCATCTCTTTGGGCGTTTTGGCTTTGCCACTTTTCAGAGATGAGCTGCACTTCTCCGGGGTCGGTTCCTGCTCTTGTGCTTTCCCAGAGGGGGCAATCACTTTCTCACGGTTCCTACCATTTCAGATTTTAGAATATCTCATAATTTGTCTTGAGAGTGAGGAAGAAAGGCAGCTGAAAGGATTAGCCCTGGAAGGGATAGTGCTGGTTTCCTTTGATCTCAGTGATTCTACGCATGACGCAAGCCAGCTCCGGTGCACAACCACTAGTGAGTAGAGTGAAACATAATGAGGATTCTGCTGTCTGTGTTGTGCCTTTGGGTTTAACACCTGCCTTGTATTTTCGTCCTACAGTTGCTGCAGCAGGGAATTTTTGCTCTAAAATCCTCAATGAGCAGATCTGGAAAGGTAAAAACAACAAAACCCTCAAATCTGTTTCCATAGACCCTTGGCGAATCCTGGGGAAGCTGTTCTAGTGGCTGATCCTCCTCCCTGTTAAAATATGTTCCTTCTTTGTACTCTGAGTTCTGCTGACTGCAACTCCCAGCCATTGGATCTTGTTTGGCTAAATCAAGAGCCCTCAGTGGGAATTAACCCCTTCCTTGCTGGTGAAATCATGGCTTTCCACACTCAATGGGAGCATTACAGAAGGGACAATGGGACTGCCAGACTGGATCAGACCAAGGTTCTTTTGGTTTTATGTCTCTGTGGCCCCCTACCACATGCTTCAGGGTATGGTGGGGAACCACAAAATGGGCTGTTCTGGAGTCACCTGTCCATAGGGGAAAGTTTAATCACCTAGAACAGTGGTCTCCAAAGTGAGGTGCGCAAGAGGATCCTTCGGGGTGCGCGGCAGGAGGAGTGTCGCCGGAGCAGCGCCGCTTCGGCAGTTCGGGCGGCTTTTTTTTTTTTTTTTTTGCTTCTGCAGTTCAGGCGGGAGTCTAAGTGGCTTTTTTCTTTTTCCTTTTTTTTGCTTGGGGCAGCAAAAATGGTAGAGCCAACCCTGCGGCGTGGCAGGGGTTGCGTGCTCAAAATTTTTTTATTGATAGGGGTGCGCAATCAAAAAAGTTTGGAGACCACTGACCTAGAACACTGGTTCTCAACTGCTCAGGACCCATTTGTAAAACTTTGTGGCCTGTCATGACTCCCCCCCACACCCCCCAAGATGCCCTCACTGGCAACTGGGCAGGAGGGGCAGTGAGCTGAGACACTCCCCCAAAAAAAACAAATACTGCCTCGCCACAGCCCATGAGGGAAAGAGGGTATGGGGTATTTGGGGGCCTGGAGGTGAAATGGGGAAGCCTAAGGGTGTAGTGAGGAAGAAGTTGGGGTTTTTGGGGAGCCTGGGCATAGAATGCAAGGGTAAAGGGATAGGGAATTTGGTGACAGAAGGGGCTGGGGGTGCATTGGGGGAAGATCTGGGGGCTGGGGTCCAGAATGAGTGATATGACAGATGAGGATTTGCCCTGCTGTGCGAGAGAGGTACATCAGAGGCTCTGAGTTGAGGGGCAGAACAGGGAGTAAGAAAGATGGGGTGTAGCCCGAATGCAGGGTGGGAGTTCATAGTGGGGCTGGTGCTTACCAGAGAACAGGACATCAGCCACTCCCTCCCAGCTTCTGACGCACAGGGCTGGCTGGACTTGGCTTCCTCCTCTGGGCTTTGTAACCTCCAGGGTCACAGCGCTGCTCAGGTTTGGCCTGCCCCCCACATCTGGCTGGCCCAAATTTGTGTGAATGACATTGCAATCTGGCACCTGGGATCGCAGCTCAACTCACTTAAATTTGGCCTGGCCAGTTGGCCCCCCCATCATCATGATGGAGGAGTGGCTGGGCCAACCTGAGCGGCGTGATGATTCTGTGCATCAGGTCGCAATGCCCAGCTTGAGGAGCTGAGCCCAGCTAGCCCCGCAACTCTTTGATGCATTCTGGTGACCCAATTTTGTGTTGTGACCCATGGGTTGAGAAACCCTGCTTTAGAGGTTGGCTTGTGCCTGGAAGCTAAAGCGTCTCTATTCCCAATTTATTTGCAGTGAGATCTTGATGTTCATAGGGCACAAGATTGGGCATCAGGACACCTGGGTTCTGTTACCAACCTGCGGTGTGACCCTGGGCAAGTCTGTTCCCTCTCTGTGTCCCCACCCACCATGTGTCAAGTTAGCTTGCAAGCTTTTCCAGGCAAGAACTATCTGTCCCTGTGTGTCTGTGGCACTCCCAGTACAATGGGGCTCCATTGAGCTGGGTGCTGCACAGACACCTAGTGAGAGACAGGCCCTGTCCCAAAGAGCTCATAGGCTGAACAGACACAGGGTGTGAGGGGAAACAGAAGCACTGAGGGGGCAAGGACTTGCCCAAGGTTACACAGGAAGACAGTGACAGCTGGGAATAGAACCCAGGCGTCTTGGCTCGTGCCCTGCTCACTAAAGCACCACTCTGCCTCTATGGGAGCCAGTGCTTTTAATTGGTTTCAGTAGCATGAAGCTTCAGATTGAACTAGTTCGTTCTGGCACGTGTGACCCAGAATCTCTCCCTTGTGCAGAAATGGACGGGATGCTGGCTGAGTTCTCTGTGCCCTGGACCAGGCCTTGGACGGCAGGTGGATGTAGCCACGAACCCATGGATTCTACCGCACTCCAGCTGGCCTTCGAGGTTTGACTTTCCTGCTCACTTGGTCATACTTCTCAAAGTCACTTCCAAACATCGCGTGGCACCCAACTTGAGGCCTGACCTTGCCAGGTGCTGAGCGCCTCCTGGGAGATGCCGAATATTCTTGGCTTGACTCTAGTGGAAGTTGATAGCATGCCACACCCTGCAGGATTGGACCCCCAGAGATTAAAGACGAGCCAAGTATTTGTATTAAGATAACACCTACAGACCCCAACCAAGATCGAGGTCCCCATCAGGCTGGGCACCACACAGACCCCAACAATCTCAGTTGAGATTATCTTCAGGGCCCGGAGTAATGGGCCGCCGATCTCAGTTGGGCCCTCAAAGTGTTACCATAGTACAAATAACATCTTTCCTGAAGCAAATAATCGCTTTCTAGCAGAGGTAATCTCAGGCTGATGACTGTGTGTGACAATGGAGCTAGGATGGGGACTGGGACCCCCACAATACACCCCATAACCAACCTCTCCAAAGTCGCAAGGCGCCGGAGCGCAGCTGTTCTGGAATCTAGGCCATTTATTTAGGTCCCTAAATATAAATAGAGCGGACTGATTTCTTGTGGCATTTGGCGCTTGCAGCCCCTGCTGTCATTGGTGGGAGTTGTGGGTGCACACAAATCAGGCCATGAGTACCCGACTTCAGGCACCCATCTGAGAGCACTGACCCATATGTATGTGACTTTCTAGCACAGCCTCGGCTGCTCTTGAAGACACCGAATTCAAGACTAAGGGCCAGATTCTAGTTCCTGATCCAGCCTCTTTATGTCATTTAGGTGGACGGATTCTGGCCATAACTCTGTCAGCATAAACCAAACCATCACCATGCCAGCCAACCCTGGCATCGGGGGCAGGCTAGAGACACCATGGATCTGATTGGCAGTATGCTGACACGCCACTGGCATATGTTAGATCTATCTGTCTCTTGGTGGCTCTAACTGATGCTGGGGCTGGGCTGGCTCTGGATCAAGGAGCTGATTATGGTTCCCTGACTCAGTGCCGGCCTGGTTCCACAGAGTTCAGACACAGGGAGAATTGAGCCCTATTATTAGTTAGGAAGTTTATTTTGCCCGCCAATGATGACGTCCCTCTTATTTCGGTTCTTCCATGAGGTGATCCCGTTTCTGTCCCTAGTGGTTTTGCAGCGACCTTGCAAGCAGCAGTCAAAGCCATGGCTGTATTTTAGGGCATGGAAAAGCAGCTTCTTTATTTTATTCTCAGCTCCACGAAAGGCCTGGGGTTCTGATGATGGACTGTCTGGCAGTAAAACAGTTCATACACAAGATCAGCATGGTGCACCCAAAGGTAACGCCACCTGGTTTGCAATGACACTAAGGCCCCTTTGCGCTGCCCTGGGGGGAAATATTCCCCTGAAAGTCTCCTCTGAGCAAAGGGCTCCCCTGACTGGCATGAGGGCTCACCTTCAGCCCAACCTCCCGGAGTAGTGGGGATGTGGCTGGACCACATTGTACAATGGGTATTCCAGGAAGCAGAGCAGCCCTGGGGTTACTCTTAACTTCCGGGGGCCGGGTTGCACAGCCCCAGAGTACAGGTAGCACAGCTGGGATTTAAAGCTCCCTTTTCCCCACCCAACAATCAGGGCCTGTTTTAATTACTTCTTGCAGCATACATGTAATCCCTGGGCCAATCTACATTCCCTGGCACAGCTCCATCAGCTCCCACACAATTACTCCCACAGAACTTGCCCCAGTGCCTATCTATTGGGCAACACCCCTTTGGCTTTGTCATTTCAGCTGGTTTAATTGTTGTTCATTACTCTGTCGGGATGAATCCTCCTACAAGCTCTTGTATTATAGCCCATCATTATCCCCTTCCATGGTGTTACCTTTTCCCAGACAACAGTACCCCAGCTTATCCACTGGGTCTCTGCGCTAGACTCCTCCCTTTTGCACAGGTTTCTACGCCAGTTTTTGTGACTGGCACCGCCCTGACCTGGGTTCTCCTTCCCTCAAACACAGATCTCTTGCCCTTCCCTAGATGGGCTGGCAGCAGCAGGAATTGAATCCTGTGCTTTGTGATTTGCAAGCAGGAACTGAACCACTGCTTCTTGAGCTGAAGGATCCAGTTCCTAGTGCCAAAAGGCTGTAGCAGACTCATAAACCTCTCCACGAGGCCTGGCTGCGAGAAGGCAACGGGAAGTGGGGGATACGCGATAGGCTGCCTGGCCCTGCTTGGAGCTGGTCTAAGACATGCTGGGTTCCACATGCCCACACAGGGCAGCAAGTGTGCTTAAGGAATGCTTTTGCTCCCCTGTGTAGGCAACTCATATTGCTGAAGCCCACACAGCTAGGGAGCACCCAACCTTGTCTGTGCTTAGCATGTCAGTCAGGTGAGTGGGCAGAGCAGTGGGCAGCACAACAGGGGTCCTAATCTCAGTCAGGGTCTGTGTGGTGCCCAGCATGATGGTGGCCCTGATCTCAGTTGCAGTCTGTGCAGAGGCCAGCCCGGAGGGGGTCCCAGTCTCAGCTGGGATCTGTGCAGTGCCCAGCATGAGGTCCTGACTCTCCTGATACCTTGTTGATTTGCAGATCAGATTCCATTACTGTGTGAATGTGAATGGCGCTGTGTCTGCGGAGACGTACTGGTGAGTAAGCGAGTGATTGGAATGCCCGTGTGACAGGTGGTCGCGTATCTACGAGATGGGGCTACCTGGGCACTTCACACAGGCCAGCACTCGTAGGAACATCGGCGTTGCCAGACTGGATCAGACCTTAGGTCCATCTAGCCTACTATCCTAGCTCTAACAGTGCCCAACACCCAATGCTTCTGAGGAAAATATATCTATAGCGACTGAGTGTGGGCAGGACAAGCAAGGCAAAGTTTGGAGGAAGATGCAAGAACACCACAGTAAGCACATGTGGGACAATCTGCCCCCAAACAGCTGTGCCATGTCTACACTACAGGGACTATAATGGTATAACTACATCACTGTAGCTATGCTGGCATAGCCCCGTAGTGTAGACAAAGCCTACACCCATGGAAGGGGTTTTTCCATTGCTATAGGAACATCACCTCCCAGAGCAATGGTAGCTAGGTGATGTAGCTATGTTGACCTAAATTTTAAGTATAAGCTAGGCCTAGTCTCACCCTGATCTCTAATAGTTAGAGATTGGCTTAAGCCCTGAGCAAGGAGGTTTAAGTATCCCTGCCAGAATGATTGTCCTTCTTCAAGTCTTTGTCCATGTGTATCCCGCTCATGGTGCATATGTGTCTCACCTGCATGAATGCACCATGAGTGGGGTTCACATGGACTAAGGATCTGGGAAAACGACAGTTTTGTAATGCAAGCAGGCATTCTTTCTCACTTACAATGCGTATTTGGTATATTCTTGATATCATTATAAGCATCTAATCCCTGTTTGATTTGTGCTCAGTTCTTAGCCGCAACACCACCCCGTGGCAGTAAATCCCATAGGCTGATCACACGTTGTGTGAAAAAGGATTTCCTTTTATTGGTTTTGAATCTCCCACCTTTCACTCTCACCAAATGTCCCCTTGTCCCTGCATCAGGAGACAGAGAGAACAGAAGCTCCTATTCTCCCTTTTCTAGACCTGCCATTATAATAGAATTGTCTCATCTTTGTCACCTTTCAAAGATAAGGATCGGAGGAGCTGAATGAGTTGCCTTATTTTAAAATGGTTTGGTGATACTTAAAGTGATGCTTACTGGGTTGAAATCCTGTCTTGTTAATTTCTGCTCTCTAGTGGAGAGAAGAGAGAGAGTACATGTGTACTGAATGGAATAAAGCTCCTTACTGACCAGAGACACTATATAAGGTAAGGCCTGGTCTACACTAGGACTTTAATTCGGATTTAGCTGCCTTAATCCGAATTAACCCTTCACCCGTCCACACTACAGAGCCAGTTAATTCGAATTAAAGGGCCCTTTAAATCGATTTCTGTACTCCACCTCGACGAACGGAGTAGAGCCTAAATCGATTTTGTTAATTCGAATTAGGGTTAGTGTGGACGCACACCACCGAATTACTGTATTTAAGTTAATGGGGTAGTGTGGCCGCACACCACCGAATTAATGTGGTTTAAAACCGAATTAAGGTGCTTAGTGTGGCCGCGCACAATCGAATTTATACAACCTGTTTCCCAAATTCGAATTATCTAAATTCGGATTAATCCTGTAGTGTAGACATACCCTAAGAGATGACTTGGTCACAGCCATAAGTACCACTCTGGGGAGTTGATTTCTGATAGCAGACCTCACAGACAAAGGCAGAACAAGTTCCTATGGCTGGAAGCTGAAGCTGGATAAATTCAGATTAGAAATGAATGCACATTTTTAACAGGGAGGGGAATTAACCATTGGGACTGACCTAGGGACAGAGTGGATTCTTCATCAAGACTGGACATCTTTCTAAAAGCTCTGCTGTAGCTCAGCCACCAGACCTGGGCTGGATGCATAAATCACTGGGTGGGTTTCTGTTACCCAGGACATGCAGGAAGCACTATCAGAACAGTCCCTTCTGGCCTTCAAACCTCTGAGTCTTTCAAATTGTGCAAGTGCTGTGTTACGTCGATTGACATACTAGTTATTGACTGGACTCTGCCTCGATCTTGATTCGGGGCTCTCAGTACTGCCATAATATCAATAATGGGTAAATGATAATATCTCTAGTGTCGTCATCCTACTAGTTCTACCTTTGTCCAGAGAGTCTTCCTGGAAAAACAGGTTAGACAGTTATTATTACAGTAGCACTTAGAGGTCCCAGTTGAGTGGGGGACCCCCATCATGCTGGGTGCTGCACAGATCCTTACTGAGATTGGGGCCCCTGTCATGCCTGGCACTGCACATGCACATAGAGCTTTGTGAGAAAGGCACATGTGAGAAGAAGCAGAGGGCAGAGATGGGAAGGGACTTGCCCATGGTCATACAGCAGGCAGTGCCTGAGCTAGAAATAGACCCCTGGTGTCCTGAGTCTCAGTTCAGTGCCCTCACCACTAGACCACACTGCCTCAGATGAGACCTGAATTTCTAATGTGAAGATACAGACACACAAGAAGTATTATTCCGTCTGTATTTAGACTGTGAACTCTTTGGGGCATGGACCATCTCTCTTGTGTGTTTATACAGCACCTAACACAACGCTGTCCTGGTCCATGATGGGGGCTCCTAGGTGCTATAGTAATACAAATTAATAATAAATAATAATAATAAATTATACCTTAGAAAGAAGCAAAGCCTCCAGAAAGGGAACAAAGCTGTGCTCTTTTCCACTGGCCTCTGTCTGGGTGCACAGTGGAGGGGAGCTGCTGTTACCATACAGATGGCCTTGCTGTGTGGTGAATTCTCCATCGCTTGGAGTCTTTAAATCCATAGTGGGCATCTCTGTATATGATATTCTGTAGCTCTGCTGCAAGCGATGGCCCATGGGATGCAGGGGATCAGCCTTGTTGAATGGGCCCCCTATTCCCTTTAAAATCAATGAGTTTCCACCATGGGCAGAATTAGGCAAAGAGAGGGTTAAATTAGCAAGTAAACCAGCAACACCACAGGGTATGAGCCTGAGCCCTGGCTGGAAGTTAGAGAGCTGGGTGCTTTAATCCCCTAAGCACAAAACCTCATAGACGCCCAGGTTACCTCACTGGAAAAGTACTGGGTTCGAAAGCACTAGGAACAGAGGAATGTTAGTCATTTTTTGAGTGATTGCTCATGTGCATTATGCTCAAGGTACACGTGCGTCCCGAGCAAAGTGGCTGGAAATTTTTTCCCTCAGTGGTACCCGTTAGCACCCTCTGCAGCCACATACTTATAGCACTGGTATAAAGCACCCAGCTGACCCCGTGCCCCCTCAGTTCCTTCTTACTGCCCGTGACAGTTGCTGGAACTGTTATCCTTGCTTTGGCAAGCTCTCTCAGTGGTCTTCTTTTCTTGTATCTGTACATAGTTGTAGTCAGTTTTAGTGAAGTTCTGTAACTTTGTGTCTTAGCAGAGTTTTTGTCTGTTCCCCGGTGTCGTGGCATGCCTCCGCCACCAGGCTTTAAGCCCTGCGTCTCCTGTAAAAAGGCTATGCCCCTTAGTGACATGCACTCAAGCTGCCTGAAGTGCCTGGGAGAAGCTCACTTTGGGGACTGTTGCCAGATCTGCAGAGACTTTAAGCCTTGCACAAAGAAGGACCAGGAGGCCAAACTGAAGTTTTTGTTCATGGAGGCAGTGCTGAGACCTCCATCTGAGCCAGACTAGTCAGACTCAGCACTGAGTGCCTCGGTGTAGGTAAGGAGTGCTCCTCCTACCGTACTAGAGTCCGAGCTCCGATCACCATCCCCAGTGCCTAGGAAAAGGCACAAGAAACAGTCAGCCGAGAGGGAACAATCCCCGTCGCCAAAGATGGCCAGACATGGGGATCAGAGTAGAGTGCAACCTAACCAGGGCACTCTTCTGTCTTGGTACCGCAGAAGTCGGCACCGTTAATTCCAGCACTACGCAGGCACCATTGAGTCTGGTACCAGATGAGCCATCTACATCTGCAGCACAGCGCGGTACCAACGCTATCTCGGTACCAACCACGCTGGAGGTATTGGCCGCTGCCAGAGACCTTCTCTAGCTGTCAGTACCAGTATCACCAGCAGTACAAGAGTTGGTGTTATCAGTGCCAGCAGTCAGAAAGGAAGCCATTGGTTCTGGTGATTGTTTGGGTCCATGCCTTTGGGTGCCATCAAAAGGGAAGCTGGCTATGCTTGCTTCGGTGTGGACATCTCCACCTCAACAGCAGTCTCTGCCACTGGTGGGAACTGCACCACCATGGTCACTGGACAAAGATTCATCGTCATTTGAGTCAGAGGTGGAGTCTCACTCCTCCTGTCCGAGGAGTCGTTCCGCTACTCCCCCAGGCATTTCTACCCTTCCATGGACATGAGCAGAGGAGTAACATCTAGTGCATAACCAGGAGGTCACTGGGGACCTACACCAGTCCTGTGGCCCTTTTGGAACATGTGGGGGTTTCCCCCAGTTTCCAGGGCTCCTATTCAGTGGCCTTGGAAAGGGGGGTGGCATCATCCCATCAGCCAGCACCCAGCCTGGACTCTGGAACTGAGCCCAGTCTTGTACTACAAGACCTGGCACAGCAGGATTCTACAAAGGCAGAAAGGGAGGAAGAGCTTCCACAGCCAGTGCTGGCCTCCACCTCCTCCCCTGACGAGGCAGTCTCAGGAGGGGGCGTCACCTCCCCCTCCCCCTGATGACTATAAAGCTCATCAAAAGTTGCTAAAGAGGGTGGCCTTAAATCTGGGCATACATGTGGAGGTAGTGAAAGTGTCCTCACATAGCCTACTTGATATTTTAGCTGCTGTGGACCCTTCAAAAGCAGGGCCGGCTCCAGGGTTTTGGCCGCCCCAAGCAGCCAAAAAAAAAAAAAAAAAGGGACCATCCGCCGAATTGCCACCGAATAGCTGGACATGCCGCCCCTCTCCGGAGTGGCTGCCCCAAGCACCTGCTTGCCAGGCTGGTGCCTGGAGCTGGCCCTGTTCAAAAGTAGCCTTGCCTCTCAATGAGGCCATTATGGACCCTGTGAAGACCTTATGGCAGCCCCTCACATCCCTTCCCTCCACATCTAAAAGGGCCGAACCCTGTTCCTGCCCAGGGTTATAAGTTCCTGTATGCCCATTGCCCCCCACCCCCGAATCCCCATGGTATCTGCTGCCAATGAGAGAGAAAGACAGAGTCATCAGGGTACAACCCCAAAATCAATGGATTTGGTAGGAAAATTTATTCTGCTGCGGGGTTACAACACAAAATTGCAAACCAGGAGGTGCTGCTGGGCAGGTTTGATTTTAACATGTGGGATTCCATGCAGAAGTTCAAAGACTTGCTCCCTCAAGAGGCTAGGTAAGAGTTCTCTTCGCTGGTGGATGAAGGAAAATCAGTGGCAAGGATCTTGTTGCAAGCTGCTTTGGATGTGGCTGACTCAGCAGCCAGGTTCATGACTTTGGCAGTGGCCATGTGCAGAAGTTCGTGGCTGCAGTCCTCAGGACTCCTGCAGGAGGTCCAGCAAACCCTTCAGAACCTACCTTTTAAAGGAGCTTTGCTCTTTTCAGAACAGACTGATGCGAAGTTTCATGTGTTAAAAGACTCCAGGGTATCCCTTAAGTTGCTTGGATTGTACACACCAGTGCCTTCAAGGAAGCACTACAGGCCCCAACAGCTATCCAGTACTCTGCCCTGGCTGCCCGTCAGGATCTTCAGAGGAAAAGAAGCAGGGGTTAGATATAGCCACTACCCCCTTCTACCTTGATGTCAATGCCTGCCTCTCCCAGACATCCAGGGGTTCTAAGCAGGTGTTTTGGCAGGATGCTCGAGGACACCATACCAGTTCCCGTGATGCCAGACCCTGTTTCTCCTTTGTTTACAAACTGTCTTTCCCACTTCTTCAGCGCATGGTCCTGTATCACCACAGACCTTTGGGTGTTGAGCACAGTGACTGTGGGATAAACCCTCCAGTTTATTTCTACTCTTCCTTCCCACCCTCCCTCCCCGTCCCTCTTCAGGGACCCCTCTCAGGAAGAACTTCTGGCCCAGGAGGTTCAATCTCTCCTTCAGGTAGAAGTTGTGGAAAAGGTTCCACAGAATTTAAGAGGAAAGGGGTTCTACTCCCATTATTTCCTAATCCTAAAAGCCAAGGGAGGTCTCAGACAAATTTTAGACCTGCATCAACAACAGCTCAACAACTATCTCAAGAGAATAAAGTTCCACATGGTCACTCTGGCATCCATTATCCCTTCCCTGGATCCTGGGGATTGGTACGCTGCCCTTGATTTAAGAGATGCTT